GGCGAAATCAGCCGAAACGTCAGCTTAATCGTGAACAAAGAATAGTAACACCTCGCGTTTGCTCAACAAAAATACGAAGAAAATCACTGAACATAATATAATTTGTGACTAACAAAAGAAACTTCTTACAGCTTCGTATCTACATGTCTGCTACACGTTAAAAAAAGTTTTCAAATGGAAAAAAAGTAATCAACCATAACAATTTGATGACAATGTCCAGTATTTCTAAAGAAACTACACTAAAGTAGTTTTCAAGGTAAACATATGCCGTAGGCAACAAAACTCACCCTATTTAGCATATTTCGAATGATTTCCTCTTTATTTAATTGAATAGCTTCATCTTCGGTCGATGTTGCAAGCCTGCTTGATCTTATTGATAAGGCCTCCATGTCACATGTCACCCCATTCACACTGCCAAAAAGGGTCTGTACTTCACTATACTGAAAAAAGCCATCGTATTATGTTATGTATTTTAACACCTCTATCTTCAAAAATTCACCTTTACCAACTTACCTTAGGATTTTTTCGCGCAATCTGCTCTATCAATTGCCACATTCTCTCTTTTTCTTCCTGCCGAACTTTCTCCATTGAACGCTCCTATGAACAATCTACTGCTTAGTTATTGCATTTTACTACACGAAAAAGTGAAGCTAAAATGCCACAAGTAGCCAACTATCAACGACAATTCGTTAGATAATGAATACTGATCCTCATGTCAAAAACTATCGCTCTACGTAAACTTACCTGCCTGTTTATACACTTTATCTTTAAACTATTTACGAAACAACTCTGATAAGGTAAGCGGATGTCCTTTTCCACAAAAGTAAGACAAATCATTTCCCAATGAAGGCAATATTAGCGAAAACCTGTGAAAGTTATAAAGCTCCAAAAAATACCTTAGCATAGTTTTGCGAGCATTCATCAAACAGTTTCTGATTGATTTCCATTAATAGCTTCAACGCGTTGTAGATCAAACCATGGATTGTTCTATACCAAAACAAAATCTTCTATAGCCGCCATATATCACGGTAGCGAGATAAAACTAAAAAAACGAACTTATTCCAATGTGATTTACTATTTTTGTACAATGCCGGGAACATTATTGGTAGGATTACAGCAGCATTTTCTCCAATCAGCGACATCACATACTCATTGTTCCAGTAATAGAGTGCACGTTCAGCAACCTAAAAAAGAATTATACATCTTAAATTGCCATCCTTCAATGGTAAACCACGGTTTGAATGCCTTCATGATTACGTGAAAAGAGAGCGATCAAACTAGCGATTTCGTAGTAAGAAATTTAAGAAAGATCCAGGCATGTGATAAGAAGTCTAAAGTAAAATTACCTGAAAATGAGGACTACTGACGCATCGCGCTAATTGTGTAAACATTGGAACCATAACTTTCTGGAATTCTGCAGGCTCTATAACATCTAGAACTTCTTCCAATTCGTTAAGGAACATCACCTAGAAAACGCCTATATCCAATGGAATAGTTGAGAAAAGTAAGCAGTAAAATGACCAAACCTCCTTTGGACTGTGAATTTTAGGCCAAAATTTTAGCAGACCCAAAATTACAGGTTCGGTGAGTGATGGATCCTTCTCGAGGAATTGAACTACGCAATACGCCAACTGAGGGTGATATGTCGACAAAGACTTCACCTAAAATTGGCCACCCAAATTCAAAACATACAGTTACTCAAAAATGCAAAATTTGAACGGCCTGAAGAAATTGTTAGATATGGACAAATTGTAATTCGAGCAGTAAGGGGCACTTGATGTAAATATTAATATTCACACGAAAATATACAGTTTTATCAACAAACCTTATGTAAAGGTAACAGTACTCGAAGTAAAAACGTTCTGTGTTCTTCTTTGAGCGGAAGTGCAAATCCATTGATAATACTTCCTAAGAGGAAAAGCATGTCAACCAAAAAGAATTTTTAAAAAATAAGCCGCACGAGTGCCTAGTGTACCAAGCCATACCTCCGAAAATCCAATCGAAATTAAAAACGTAATACTTCAAAAATGCAATGATGAAAACTCTATTGGAAGAAAGAATTTAGAAATTCTTACCAAGTATTTCTAACAATTCCGCAATGCCATTATGACGCTCGGTTTCATAAATAAAACAATAAAAGATGTTGTTGATCTGCTTTCTGGAACCAACGGATTCATAAAACGGAAGTGCAAGTTTAACTGCATGAAGGAAAAACGAGAACATTTTCAATATTCTTGAATCTACATACAACGTTAAATTCATACCGAAATTATCTCACCGGATATATGCCCTCATGCCTAGAAATTTCCCATATATTCTATGCAAAGTTGTTTTGAGAAAATCCCGTTCTCGAGGATCTTCCGAATCCATAATCATCAGTAGCTGAAAGAATGTTAACCTATGTAAACCTTTAAGCAAAAAGCCATATTAAATACTCCTAAAATTTTTTATACAGATCATCCCTATATCTCCTAATGACGCTAGATGAAACCAAACGAATGTCACTCAATAACTTATACACAAATGCATCACAATTGCTGCTTTTCTTTACATGAACCAGATAACGATCTTACACGGGACATGAATTTATGCTCAATGTACTTCTTTGCTATGGATGACTGGAAGTCAGGCGATTCCAGGAAACGGAGAAAGAACTCGTAAACAAGCTGAAATAGTCTGTTTGAGGAATCTTCAGTATAAAAACAGTATTCAAGTCATAATCTTCAAGTGTGTGATTGATCAATACTTATGATGCTGCATCGACATAGAGCAAAAAAAAGACCTGCAAATGCGGCCAAGCCGCCTCAAGCGTAGGCTCATCCTCATCAGGATCGAATTCTGCACCTATAGGATTAGTTGGTGGAGAAAGTGGTCGAAAGAGATTGACAGCAAACTGTAATATAGTAGTAACTAAAGCAACTAGATGTATTCTATAAGAATGGAAAAGAAGATTTTACAGCTTATTAGGTACTTGCAACTTGGTAAATTGGGTGAAACGACGACGTGCCGTTCATGTATTACGGCTGCAAACACTTCCATTTATAATGTTACATATCTTTATTTTCTGCCTACTATAATCTCGCGGCAGGATACTAAGCGAAATACAACCACAACGTTGCTGAGATATTTGCAAAACTCTGGACCGCAGGTGTCTATGGTGGGGAACGAACGCGCTATTGCCTTTTCCGGGGAGTAACGCGTTCACCTCCACACCATGCGAGTCCTTTGTTTCGCCTGTCTCTCAGCTATTTCTATCGATCTTTGCCACAGCAATCACCCGTCAGCGGGATTGATCTGGAGCGCCCAAATCGGCATAGAACCCAGTTAAGCTGCGGCTGTAGTTGAATAGCTGAGAGACAGGCGAAACAAAGGACCCGCATGGTGTGATGGTGAACGTGTTACTCCCCGGAAAGGACAATAGCGCGTTCGTTCCCCACCATAGACACCTGCGGTCCAGAGTTTTGCAAATATCTCAGCAAAGTTGTGGTTGTCTTCCATTTATGATCTTCACTGGGAAGAATTCAATCGGATCACCCTCAACTTCAGATGATACATCCCCCAGGTGGCAAATTGATGGTTAAACGCTGACTAAAAACGACCTTGCATTAGCTCAGATACCCAGGTACATGTCCTAAATCAATGATAAAAGTTGATAAACGCAGCCGTACACACCAATAGGATATCAGGTGGGAGAGGCATAAGTGACTACCAAGTGTCGTTATAAACAACGTAATGATTTTTGTGTTCTTCAAAAGAGCAAAACCCACTTTTCAATTGTGGCAAGCGACAACGAAGAATGCACGCATTGCTACCATCGCTTCAAGTCGCAATATGAATAATGGAAGCATGGTAACAGAGTTATCTGCTTACTACTAGTTCGTATTTAAAATTATTTAAACATTCACAACAGTTAACTAAACAAATCGATTTCATCTGGAATTCATTCTCTGTTATCCATTTGAACATCCAATATGTTTGTTCCTTACATAAAATAAGAACTTATCTTAAAACTACGTCTTCAAACGCACTTCACAAACTTAGAAATGGGAGTGCGCCAAAAGCGCCACATGCTATGACCGACCAAAAAGAGGCAATCCTGCGGTAGAACAATATCAAACCTGGAAACTCCTATGGAAACCACTCCTCATAAGCTCAATAGTCAACACTCGTTTAAACGAAGAACACCTCACTTTACACATGAGGGCTCTAGTATTTACTAGTTTTCCAGAGAGGACACCGAGTGGTAGCATTCGTACCCTCACGTGAAGATGGGTAGAGCGACGGAGATCTTGTCGGTTTACACCGCAGAAGATGTGGAGTAGGCGCAAAACAGCACGTTTGCATAGTTATGATTAAATGTATACGAAATTTATAAATCAACCCAGTGCAACGAAGGCAATAAATCTATTCAAGGATAAAAACAAATAAAGGATAAAGGTGTTGGAGTTGATCAATCTCTAAGGGATGCACCATGGATTCGGCCTCATAAAGCAACGTCAGACGTGACTGAATGCATATCTGACCTATACCATGACTCGTGGTGGCCTACCGATACATCGATTCAGTACTGTTACCCTTCCAGACAATCCTTGTACCAAATTGCCGACCCCGGACAGATGGAAACTCTGGTGATGCTGGGATGCGGGATAGAAGCCATGTGTATTATACGACACCTCTATAGCAACTAATTGCTTTGAGATCTTGTAACATGTAAACGTTTTCACTTCACTGAGAGAAACTTTGTTGTCGTAAACATCCTTTGCGATCTACACTCTTTATACAATCGAAACCTTTTGTGTGTTGCATCTGTTCCAAACCATCACGGGTACGGTAACACAAAGGAGCATGAAGTCGCCCGGCAAATCGTTCTCAGTCATCTGATCACGAGGGAGCTGGAGACGGAAGTTGGTGGGTGTTTTCGGTAAAGGTTCTGGACCTGTGCCAAAGTACCGACTCCTCCAGAAGACATTTAAATAGCCTCGTGCGCCAATACCGTATTCGCCCCCCTGTGTAATGCGCCTTGTAGTTAATCCAAGGTGTTCTCTCGTTGTATGTGGTCACTGTTGTATGTTAACTTTGCTGTCATGTACCTCCGAACACGCTAACTCTATTGTGTGTTCACATCAACCTGATGGCAGATACTCATACGCTTAAATGTATTCGTTAATACGTTAACCTAATCGCATTGTACCTATAAGTTAACACATAACCTCATCGCAATGTTACAACAAGCTTACATGTCGCTCTTAACGTGTTAACCTCATCAGAACCACATCACAAGCCTACATATAGTGTGTAACCCTTTAGTATTGTTGCTTGTGAGTCAGGTTTACGGCCTTATATAAACCCCTTAGTGCGCCTGGATTTTGTGACACTTGAGTTATTCTAAATGCATACAGCACTGTTTTACTGGCCTATAGCAAACATACTAACCCGCATTACCCTCATTTATTGGTTATGATACAATATTGCAGTCTGTATTGTACCAATGTTTATATTTTGTCATTCTTGAATAATTATAAACAGTTTAATTACCCAAGTTCGAGATATTGCTCTGCGACAAGCACGAAAATGTCCCACGTGGCAACTTCTACGAAGTCGAGCATCCTACTCAAAGCTGGTGATCATAAGGTGCCGAGAACTGACTCAAAGACCTAATTCCCACTAGCAACTACTATAAACTCTAACCTGTGCGCTACATGGGCCACTAAACCCGAGGGAATGCACAAGCATCTCAACGAGGAAGATCAGCGTATAAATACTGGCAAGACTAAGATGGCAAAATTTAAGGACTCCGAACCAAAATGCTTCCTACTGTAATATTCACTTCTAACATTATTACGCCAACAGAGTACCTTTTTCAATCCATGCAGTATTGCCAATCTAAGAAAAAGACTTTAAAAACGTGGATAAGGCAAAAACGGCGTTTCCTGATTGTTTTCGTCTGCTTATAAATAATAATAATAATAATAACACAAGAATAACAATAATAGTAAAAAGACGGATTCTGCTGCTTATAAATACAATTTTTAATGGAATAAGATTGCGCCGAATTACTACAAAGGGGAAACATGGAACGCTATGAGGTTTGCAGTATGGGCAACAGTTTGCACTCACTGACAGGACATTAGAATGTACTGATATGCTGACTTTTTATGACTATATATAAAAACTTCCTCTCCACACTAAAATAACATGACTAAATAAACTTTAAACTGAGAAACTTCCCTTTAGCGTTTTTAAAATAATTTGGTACCAAAAAATATTCTAACATATCTGAAAATAAAAAGGGAACAAGCTCACCATATTTATGGCCTCTGGATAAACATTATCAGTGATAACGTCCCGGCATGTCGACACGTAATCGATTAGTTCGTTAAGTGTAGCTCGTTTCACCTTAAACAGGGTAGTATATTTGTCCGACGGACATCCATAATTGACCCAATTCCAAAAAAAAATTGTGCCAATATATGTAAAACTAATTAGGGGTACAATAACAATGATAAAACTGGCCGACACAAAGGTAAACCAAAGACCTCAGCGGTGCAGACGATAACAAGCGAGTCCCACCAAAGGGTAAACGCGGGTTACGAATCTGGCCAGGAGTGTGAGTTTTGCAAATTTCTCAGCATCATTGTGATTTTGTTTTGCATATCCTACCGTGAAACAAATAATAGGTAACAGATAAAACAGTAAACACTGTAATAAGGCATACTCTGTTTTCAAATGAAAACTCTCACCTCAATTACTAAGGAAGGTGCCCTTCATGACTTACTTGGATAGTTGGATGGCCCGTCTTCACTGGTTGTGTGGGCCCCAGCGTAATTTCCATGTTTTTTCGGAGTATTGCTGGTTCAGCTACTCTACTTCTCAGGAGTCCCTAGGTCACCTTAGCCAAGGTTGACTAAGATCGTCACCACCACAGGAGGACACCGCATTTGTGGATTACAGGAGATTTGAACCATGCGACTAGTTCATACCGAGATGTTGGTGGTTCCTGGTATTGGTTTACTCTTAGCAAGGCTTCCAAACGGATACGCCGGACTCCTTCCCAGCTTGGGAGACCCTGCCGGAGGATCACTCCCCCGCTGTACATTGCAGCCAGACACCCAGGAACACCTTTTCATGATAAGGGAGGAAACCTTTAGAAAACTTTAATGCCCATAAAGTGATATTTAGAATTACCTTATGGCGCGTCTAAATTTTTCTATGTAGGAACAAGACAAATAATTAGGCCTTATATTCCGTGTACAACAATCTACTTTCTTATACGAAATGGTCAATGAACACACGTTTAGGTGGTATGTACACAAAATCCTCATCTATGTACAATCGATGGAAATGACCGCTCATAAAGAATCCCAAAATAAAAGACCTGTAAAAGTTCCCCTCTTTACAACCGTTGTCAATGATGCTGTAACTCTACCCGATACTAAGTATGAGAGAAATAAATGCTTTAATCAAATAAAAGCCTCATACCTCTTTGTATTTCATATCACTTAATGGATCCTGTGCAAAATCGAACACCACACAACACTGCCGCAATTTCTGGATGAATAGTTCTTCACGTTCCATTGCGTCCGCTTCTTAAAAAACAAACAGCTCAATCGCCTTGTTTTTCTTACTCTCATTTTACTTTCCTTCCTCCTAATATATGTTTTTCTACTGATTTCGAAACCACAGCAGAGAAAACGACGTAAATGATAAAGAGATGCTAACTTTAATCAAATTAGTACAGTTATTCACACATTACTAGAACATCACTTCAAATGGAAAATCAAAAAAATGTGGTAGGCACTAGAGAAAGACAACAGAAACTCTACAGTCACATCGGCCTTAGAACAAAAATACGAAGACTTAAAAGATTTGTTCTATCACATCACAGCAGCCAAGCCAGAACGACAAATGGATTTGCCGTTTTGAAATGAAAAATGAACGAGTTTAAATGTTGATTTGAATACCTGATGCTTACGCATAATTCATTAACCAATAGCACTTCACAATGTTATACCTTTTTATTTTCTGCTTACTATAATTTCGCAGCAGGGTACTAAGCGAAATACAACCACAACGGTGCTGAAATATTTGCAAAACTCTGGACTGCAGGTGTCTATGGTGGGGAACGAACGCGCTATTGTACTTTCCGGGGAGTAACGCGTTCACCACCACACCATGCGGGTCCTTTGTTTCGCCTGTCTCTCAGCTATTTCTATCGATCTTTGCCACAGCAATCACCCGTCAGCGGGATTGATCTGGGACGCCCAAATCGGCATAGAACCCAGTTAAGCTGCGGCTGTAGTTGAAATCACAATATTATACCTTTTTATTTTCTGCCTACTATAATTTTCAAATCAACAAAGGACCCGCATGGTGTGGTGGTGAACGCGCTACTCCCCGGAAAGGACAATAGCGCGTTCGTTCCCCACCATAGACACCTGCGGTCCAGAGTTCTGCAAATAGTACTTCACGTTGAGTCATGGCCAACGTTCTGGCTTGAAAACTCTGAGCAGTAGTTTCTACACAAGAAACATTTGGGTTAAATTCCATCCCACGATATTAAACTCCCTGCCTTCATTTTAGAAGGCAGAACACCCAAAATGTAACGAAAGCACTTTTACAGATTAAACGCCAGGTTTGAAAAGAAAACATCCTGGTGTTAGTGTATGGAATTAAATACCTGCTAGTGAGCTAAATGCCACAAGCTTCGCCTCCCCAAAGGAATGAAGAATGAAGCCAATTATATCAACTATGTTATTTTGAATAAACAGACCATAATGTGTTAAGGACACTATTCAGTTTTCGATGAAACTCTTTCCTCACTTTAGCCTTCAGATAAATAAAGTGTGAGCAATTATTTTGTAAACCTCCATTACAGGAAACAGTTTAAAGCAGCATGAAAAGACTTGCAAAAGTTACTAATGAAGGAATTAAGCCAAATCTTAGGTAGGTCAACAAAAACAAACAAAACAATGTGGTAACAATACAAGTGACCACTGCGTTAGTTCGAGAAATCACCTTTTATCGCTGGTAGTTTGGTAAGCTCCCTATTAGTTGACACATTAAACAGGCTACTTGATTGTCGTCGATCCCGACGTGGAATTACGGGGCCTAAATTTCCTTCATAACGGTAAGTTTAAAACATTAACAACATCTAACCAATTTCATGACAATCTACATGCAAGGACGGAGTTAGTCTATAGGCTGCTGCATCGAGTTGACCTTACTTATTTGGATACTAAGATGGCCGGCCTTCACTGGTTATGCTGGCCTCAACTTAATCTCCATTCTTCGGAGATTTGCTGGTTTAGCCATTGCGGTTCCCTGGAGTCCCGAGGACAGCCTAGCCAAAGTGTGTTCCAGGTCATTACCACCCCGCAGCCTTTGTGGATCGGAGAGAAATTCGTCACCATGCGACTACTTTGATATGACGGCAGTGAATCCTGGTGTTAGTTTACTCTTAGTTGGACTTCCTAATGGAAACGCCAAACTCCTTTTAAGCTTGAGAGACTCTGCTGGGGCGGATGAATTCTCCCGCTATACATCGGAGCCCGACACCCAGGAACACCTTGCAGCCACGATGAAACGGTAAACCGTTGGAAAGCACTTGAAATACTACTCAAAAAAGCAAAATGTAACTGACACGACTGAGAACCCACTGCTTTAAAAGCCTCAGAAACATATAAAACACTATTTCAAAGACACTCTTGCTTCTGAAGTGTTGTACGTATTACCGCTACCACTAAATCAGTATGACAATGTATAGGTTTTAGAGGCGCTCCCAGACCCAGCAATGATAACAAACTCGGACCAACTTTCCCAATTTTGGTGAATAAATGCGACAGACAAATGAGAAATGTATTCGCCAATATTCAACAGGAGATTAATCTAGGACAGTAGATATACCAAGAGAATCGCCAGTTTACTTCAACTCTTTTCAACTAACCTCCACCATAGTTACTCTTCTTCAGCGATGTTGGAGGAGGAGCATCCGGAGGGGGGCCATTGTCGTTACCTAGAACAATAATTACTAAGTGGAATAGAAGAAAGCCAGCTAAAGATTGATATTACTGATCGAATTCACCATTAACATCCTCAGTTTGTATGATAGGTATCACCTTCACTTCCTTCTCCTCTTTCTTTTTATCTTTCTTTCCATCCTTGTCTTTGTCTTTATCTTTCTCTACCTTAATTACAGGAAATACTTGTACAATCTCTCTCTAGTATAATTACTTAACAAGTAATAAACAAAATAAACGGAGAAAAATAAAACTTAGCACTTTTTCTTTCCCATCCTTATCTTTCTTTTTGCCTTTCAGCATTGTCGACGACGCGACGACCTAAAACATTAACCATAAGTATATGGTAGGAACTAATTATGAACGGGTTGACTTTTGCAATGACGATAACTAATGAATAATATACATCTCACAGAATTCACAGTTAAAGCAAGAACCGAAGCGAAAGTTGCTTTGCAGTAACTGACAGCTGATATCCCGTATCCACCTAATGATTTGATTGTACCAAAACATTAAACAAAAGGATAAATCCCTCGGCGTTGATTAATTCCTGAGGGATATGCCATGCATATTCGACTTCATTAATCATCGTTTGGAGGTGACTGAATGGATATTTGGCAGTTGGAATAATTCGCGGTGGCCTACCGATATATCGAGCCAGTGCTGCTATCCATCCAGACAAGTCTGGCATCAATTTGCCGACACCGAGAGATGGGCGTCTTCGGGGCCATGGGCGCTGGGATCGATCCCATGTGTGTGTTGCAGGGACCCTCCCACCACAGCGCCACACGCGCCCATCAAAACACTGCATTGAAGAAATAAAAGTAAAGATAGAGGTACAACTGAGAAAAAGATAAGTTTAAAATGAACACATACACTGAATGTTAAATCAAGTTCGCTCCCACGATAATGAATAAAGCTTTAAACGGTTTCAACTTCTTTATTACCGTCAAAAACACGCCTTGCCTAGAAAAACCACTACTTAGTGATCACTGCTTCAAGTACCCAACACTTCTAACTAAGACGAAACCTTCCTCAACAGTTCATCAAATAAATTTTGCATGGTCTCGAAGTAATATAAACATAAACAAATCATTGCTTCGATTGCACGAAGCGAACCATTTAACACATAACGGTGATCATTTAACGAGTACAATGTACGTGGTATGAAAATAGATGCCGCTTCCAACTTTAAATGAATGATACTTCAAAACCGACTTTGCTTTAACCTCGGTGTAACTAACCAATATATATTCCCTCTTTGACAAGCTTACACAAGGTTGATAAATATTCATTGGTTCAACCTCGCGTGAGCTTACAAAAGAAAGAATTCAGTTCACGCTGAACTTTGCGAATTGTCACTTGTTAATAAAAACCGTCAGAATCTACATCTTCCTAGCTATAAGGTACAAATTCACTCCTACCAAGAAGAAATTCAGGTTTTCTACTGCCAGCGATATATGTGCGTACACATATACATATATATATATATATATATGTGTATATATATGATATATATGCACGTATATATGTACATATGTATATATATATATATATATATATATATATATATATATACGAATCTCCACGGATCTCCCTCATATGAGGGATCTCGGGCCGGTTAGTCGCGAGTCAATTCGGCCAAAAACCTGCAATCGAGTGGCAGGGAAGTATGTGGGATGCGGTTAGGCGTCGCCTCCAACAAATAAGCCCCATGTCCACTGTGGGAGAGCCTGCCAAACTACCCGTGAGTACACCCAGACCACACATTCAGAGACCAGCAAGCTATACATGGGTATCAAAAAATGGTCAACAGTAAAAAAAGACGGGGTTCATTCCCCTGACTCCGAAAGAGCGCCCAATTACGCAGCGTTGGTACGGCGAGTACGGAGAGGCTGCTAAAATCTCAGCGCCAATGGAAGCTGCCTGGATTTCAACTAAAACCAATAAGACCTTCAACGTTTGAAAGAACAATCGACAAGTTACTTCCCTCCAAAGGAAGAAATTAATTATATCGTATGATTTTAACCTGATCGTATTAAATATTACTTTACACCCCCATGTTTTTCATGTCATTTAACTGAGAAAATGGTGTCTGAAATTCTCAGCGAAATATTCCAACCCCACAACAAATGTTACTTCTAAAAAAGAACTACGACAGCAGTCCAAGCGCTTTGTCAGCGAGGTAGGATGTAAAGTGAGGTATCGTAAGTGGACTCCGCTATTGCTCCTAATTCTGTCAAATACAAGAAAAAGTATGCAAAAATGTTAGTAAAACTGCTATGTCAGCCTCAATTCATGAACATGCTAGGGTTTTCCACTCACCCAGTCCCTCCCCCTCTCTCCACCACCACCTTAGTCATAGTGAGAGCTCTTTAAATACCGGTTTGGTGTCTTCTTGAATATTTACATATCTGCAGTAAAAAGTGAAAAGCTTGAAGAAACAAATATAAAAGGTCGGAAAGAAATCTTCCCACCTTATTATGCGCGACGGAAACTTGCTCATTATGTAAGCAGGACGAAAGATCACTTAACGTTATCGAACGCGCAGACGACAGAACGATACAAAGAGGAAAGATCTGATAATAGGCGGGTTCTTAAAGCGAGCAGAACTCACTGGTCCACTCTCGAACGCGAAAGGGATAGATGGAAGATTTAATGAGACGCGCTAGAGATGTTTGACCATCAACAGGACGATAAGTGACGGGTGAAAACACTGGGATGGATCATACTGAGAACTATGAGACATAACAGAAGAAACAATAGATCCAGAAACTCGTATGCACCACTGCTGGTAATTTCTTGACATCTAGATCAGTTGAGAAGTTGACTACCTGGTAGAGTTGTACGAGAGATATTGCTACAAGAGTAAATATGGTTTCCCAGAAATATTATTCCATCCTCAAAGCTTTTTCATCTTCGAATTTCTGAAAAATTAAAAAAAAAAACCCGAGTTTAAATTTTTAAAACTCAAATGTAAGCTGACAACAGTCAAAACCAGCGCAAACACCTGGAGTATCCTCACGTTCTGCTGGATGGAAACCTTTTTGCTCAACTGCTTTCGTGTTGGAAATACGGGTTTTGGCGTAAGATTATAAAAGGAAAAAACTTTTCATAGGTTTCACGGAATTAGAATTCCACCTTAATAAAGCAAGAAAACTACCATCGCATTAAGATCTGTAGAATCCAATGATTACTATTCTGGTTAAGAAACAACTTTAAACATTCTGGGAGAGCGGTCGTTATTTTCTCACCGTACGAGTGGAAATCTATTCGCATCAGACTCGAAAACCGATTACATTCACACTGATATCACTATTCACTTCATACGAGAATTTCGGCTCTTTCTAGCAAATCACATTATTTAGTTAACATAAGAAATCGAAAAAACCATGAAGGAGTTCCATTGCTGTTGAAAGTGATTATTGCTTTCAAATGCAATTTTTCGTTGCCACAGTTACATTCTGAGTTAACCTTTAAATTCCTACAATCCCATAACTTCCTATTAAAACGAAGGAATGGTTTTTCATTCAGAATAGATGTAAACGAAATTAAAACTGTTCAATTGTGCTATGTTTGCACTTTTTACAACGATATCAGTGTTATTACTATGAGAAAGCCATCATACCTATGCCTTGATAAGGACTAAAAAAGCGTTGAGAATATAACCGACTAAACGAAGTGTATTAGTTGGCAAGTGCAACGAAGCGATTACAAAAAGACTAACAGGGATTAGTTTCAAAAACTTACTTTTATTCAAGATTGCCATAAAAAGTCAACATCTTGCTATAGAGCTAAAACGAGGCTGTTATAAAACTTTACTGTGGCTAACGTTTCGGCACCATGCCTTTCTCCACGATCGCGATAGCCAGAGACGAGTGTCCGTAAGAGTTATTTCTTTCGATGCTGGTCCCATAAACCATGATTTCACATATACCGAGGCGAAATGGAGATCTGTATTGAAAATAATGCCTTGCTATATGCCGCCTAATACTATTGCAACTGTATCAGGATGGTTTGTCACCACAGAAGGAAATAATTTCGGTAAATAAAAAGTTGCAATCGACAAAGACAAAACCAGTATAAACCATAACCGTTGAGTACTGCAGAGGGAAACCAGGCCATTCCAGTGTCAAGAACCATCGTGCATAAAACGGCACTGCACGGTGACTCCAGCTCATTCGTGCAGTGCTCTTCTCTGCTCTATTCGACTCACCACTACTACAACAACCCATAACGCATGAAGAAACAAAAGCTGTAGACATTGACGAGGTCAAGGGCGCCAAAACATTACGCATAGTAAAGCCCTGTAACAATCTCGTGTTACCTCATCTATACTATACGACTATCAGGCTTAGCCAAAGTTGCTGTGGAACGAAATTTCCACGATGATCCACTCAGTTGTTAGAATGCCGTTCAAAGGTAAAAGGAGGCATAAGATTTGGAAAATTCGTATAAAAGCATAACCTTAGAGCAATAGGAACTACGTCGATCCACTACAGAATGCTTAACTAGTTATAACTAGTTAGACTATCCTACGTAATCGATTTATGTCAGCGCAAGTATTCAATGACATTAAATGATATTAATGACATGGGTTTGATTGATAGACTGAGAAAAACGCAATCATCATGAGAATAAAAACCAGATTTTTAATTAGTACTTGTTCCTGAGCTAATGTCAGCTATTTTACGACAAATAAATTATATACAAACTTGTAAAAGAATGTGGATAATAATAGTCCTTGTAGGGGAAAATTGCTTAAAACCACTCTACTAACATAGCATAAAATGAATGCATAAAAAACAAACCTTTATAATCCTGTTGAAAAAAAGAGGTGTTATTTCAACCCTTTATTTACGAATAGACTTAAGCCTTGGTGGATTTCGCTTTCCTGGGAACCTGGAACGATCAAGTTGACTGCAATCTACCCAGCCTAATACTTCCATAACCAAACAGAGAACACGCTAATGCAAGATTTCAATGGAATCTTTTGCATGAATGAATTTTTCATGAATTTGCATGAAATCTTGCTTTAGCATTTTCTGTGCTTGGTTCGCTAGGTAGATTGCGGTCAACTTGACCTTTGCAGGCTCTCGAGAAGGCGAAATCCGCCAAAACATCAGCTTGTTCGTAAATAAAGAGACAAAATAACACCTCGTGTATGCTCAACAAGAATATAAAAAACAAGTCATCTCTAATTATAGAGCTGTTACACTGCCTTGACACTACTCAATCGTTACTGCATTCAAACTTCTACGCAAGAAGCCTAAGAAAAAATTCGCAAAACACATTCGCATGTGGAAAACCACACCCGTCATTATTGCCAGCAACAGAACAACACGAATGATAGACACTCCAAAAAACAAAAACATTGCCAACATTCACAATCCGGGAGGAAAACGTAATTTGACTTGAATGAACCATGGAGATCCGGAAGACACCTATTTATTTAGTGAGACATCTCGAAAGAAGAAGACGAGTTTTATGAGACGGGAAACAACTTGAAAACAAACCTTTCGTCTAATAGTAATTAATTTTCAAGTCTACGGTAACGTTCCGTACAAACCAACAGAACTTCATAACTGTCTACAACAGACAGCTAAAAACTTATAACCAACTAGATCCTCGCTAAGCAGAGCTCCCATTTTTAGAGAGCTTTTTAAAAATTCTTTCCCATTTTTGCACGAACCGTTGTATTGCGCCGATCCCAGCACTTCTTTCAATCCACTCGTTTCCTCTCAACCACGAAAGTTTTCAGATTTTCGTATGAGTTTGGCCCCTATTTAAAGAGTTTCGGTTTTCTTTAGTAATGTCATCAAATGCCGTTCAAATAGATTCTCTGTAGAATCCTAAAACAGCCGTGTTAGCACATTCCTTTAGGTCACGGCAAGCAGACAAGTCTTTATGGGTCGGAGGAAGTTCTTCCCAGAAAAATTTGGTACCCATCTCTTGATTGAGACAAGCCGAGAAACTCGAGGCAGAGTGAGTCAATTTAGTGCCTTGCAAGTATTGAGCGGCATCTCCATCACTGAACAGCTCACACTCGTTGTTTATAAGCAC